AATGATTTTGCTGTGATAATATAATCTTAATATAAGCTAATTTTGTGACTTGATTATTCCTTTAATCTATTTTGGAAGAAACAAATGTACATATGGCTAATTATAGCATCTATCCCATCTATTGTGAGAGGTTGTACTATGAAGTTGGTGCATATAGTGAAAATACAGAGGATAAAATGAGAGAAGGTCGTCTGAATCTATCAAGCCATATCAGTGGACCTTTTGGAGCACGGATCCGTAGGTATAATTATATGATGTTGGAAGATGATAAGAGGGAATGAGTTAAACCAATAACATATACCATAGAGTGATAATATTACAACCTCTTGGAGCCAATGAGGACTTAACTGAGAACATAAAACAACGGATGCAAATATATCTAGTTGTTATGATAAGCATAACATCCGGCGTTGGTGAACTGTCTTTTGACTTAAAAGACAAACTTTTCATAACTGGAATGAATGAACCTGATTAGAGCATAATGCATAAAGTTGATTCATATAATTGAAACTGAACAGTTTGGGTTTGAGACAGCTGAATTAATGTTAATTGATTGATCTACTCAGTGTCAAATTTTCATATCATCTAGTCCTTCTTCGATCAAGGAGGTGCCGAAATCCAACATAAGATGTTTAGGACTTCATAACCAAATTGAAAAGTGAAAGCCATGACTCATGAATATGGTGAATTTTCAAATAAAATAGTATTCAATTTGTATGATGTGTTTAACAATTGTGTACTCTTAAATGTCAGTCTCTCTAAAAACTATTTCTGAGCTAGCATTTACAAAAAGAATGTTGGCCTTGACTCAATAAACAAGAAGCTGCCAGTTTCCACTCTCTTGGTGCATAGAAGAAATTGAACAGCAGCATGAAGGAATCAAGAGGAGCAAAGCTTTGTGAAGATCTCCAGCAGCTACACCTTTCTTGATTAGCGAAATGATGTAGCTCATAAAGGTTGAATCACAGGGTAATGTAATAGGGCCACCACTTGGCAACCCAAACTCTTCTTCGGACATGCTTAAAAGTTGCCTAATGAACTCATTTTCAAGGTAAACCAATGGAACGACAAAGCGGGATTGAACAGCTGTATAAACTACAAAATGGCCTTTCTCAACTATAGAGGATGAAGATGTACTGCAACTGTCTGCATCACTACCATTTCTTGGAAATGAAATCCTCTTCCTTTGCATAGCGGCAAACTTCTGCCATTTCCTGGCCATCTTGATGAGTTTCTTAGCGCTGAGCAATGCCATTTTCTTTTTGTTGGAAGATTGAAAATAAGAAAGTAGAAAAGAAATTTAGAGACTTTTGATTGTTGAACTGATAATGCTTGTCCTTGATGAAAAGGCTCGTGAAAGAGGGATTATTTATACAAAATGGAGCTGAAGTTCTTGTCACTAACCACCCAAGGCAAAGCCATGTGTCTATGTCTGTTGTCCAAGTTGGTATGGGTCCAAAAATTAGCTATAATATCAGCTCATAAATGGTACTTCTCACCAATGTTAATAATCTGAAACCATTAAATGACAATTGTAGGTGAGAAGCAAAAACATGTTCTTCTCTCTTCATTTTCACATAGATAGGGGACACTTGACTATCATCTTGGCTAGTTGTGCTAGAAAAACCATTTCATTAAAGTCATCATGTGGCTATTCTATTTCGGTCTCTTTCACCCTATCTTTAATTCTGGTGGTCCAGGCAAATTTATCATCTTGATCTATTCTTGTGGATTTTTTTCTAAGAGTGTCCTTTATTACGAATCATTAGTCTTGTTCTTCAACAAGTTTGTGGTCTGAACACTTTAGAGAGTAAGAAAAACCGTGTGAAAATTCATATGGCATTGTCTCTCACTATATGGTCACCTATTTCTCTTGACCACCACCAAATATTTTGATATGAAACTTGTCATAAACTTGAGTGTATATATATATACACTAGTTTCTGAGCACGTGCTTCGCACGTGTGTTTCATGTGAATTTTTATAGATATGTTAGAATGACTAAAATTTCATGGAAATATATATGTAAATTGTAATGAATAATAAAATGCAACAATTACAAAATAAGAATAAAGACTTACGGCAATAAAACATTCATAGAAAACTAAATCAAGAAATCTAATAGAGAAAAAAAAAGACAAAAAGAAACAGATTTAAGAAAAAATACAAAGTAAACATTATTTTTATAAGACTGATGTATAGATGAAAAAATAAGTACAAAATTAGTACATAACTCTCTGAGTTCTTATTGACTCCTTCCATATCCTATCAAAATTCAAGAGTCTTCTTCATCTACTTTAACTATAGAATAAAAATAATAGCCTAATAATCTTGGTAGGGGTTTCATGAGATAAAGAAGTTGAATTTATATAGATAGAATAGAAGGAATATCAAAAGATATCTTAAAGTTTTAGTTTAAATATTTGGAGGTTATGAATATGAAAAGATGTGAGTTATGGATATTAAGAGTATAAAAGTTGAATAAGTAATTAGAAAATAATAATAAATAAATGAAGAATAGGAAAAAGAAAATTAAAGTTAGCAAACCATGTAGAAAGAACAACTAAAAAGTTCTTATCACGTAATTAAGCATCAATGAATTTAGATTTGTGAAGCTAGAGTCATTCTTTAATAATAATCAAGAGGACATTATCAATGTGTGTGTCTCCATTTTGCAGATTTGCACCCTTTAAATTATTAATTTCGATAATACTTTATCCACATAAATTATATTATTTATGAGAGGGGTTCAGGAAAAAGTAATGAGAAGAGGAAAAGTATAGCAATTTAGGTAGAGGTTTTTTTTTTTTAAAATTTATTATTATTATATACATATAGATTATAGATTATAAATATTAATAAATTAGATATTTAATTAGGAATTAATCTTAGGAAGTCTAAAAGTCATTAACATTTTAATTAAACTTATACAATCAAATATTTAAATATTTTATAGCAATTTAATTTCTAGAAGTGGTAAAACCGTAATTCAACTTTCAACTTTTTTTGTTCATGCTTTTAGTAATATATGATATACTAGTTTCCAGACTTGCAACAAACTTTCACTTGTGTGTTTCTAAAATCCTTCATTTTTTTTTCCTCTTTACCAAGTAAGGAGGTGCTAGAACTTGTTAGACAATTGGCATTTCAGCTTCCAGCTTATTGTTTTTTACTCGGTTTTAGTTTAGTGCTTCCCATTTTCTAGCTAGACTAAGTCAACTTTAGTTGCTTAACTTTTTTAAGTTAGTGGCCCTTTTATGACTGTTAGTGGCACATGTTTTTTATTTAGTTTTGCATTCACTTTGTAGGTGACTACTAGATAGGAAATGGTTAGGTTAACAAACCTTAGATTACTATTCATAATGAGTTAACGAATCTCTACTATTAACAAACGTGCAACAAAAAAACTGATATCATTTCCTTTGCTTTCTAGTAATGTTGCAATCTGAATATCTAGCTTACCGCTTTAAAAATATTAGCTATTTCGATAGAGCGTTATTTGCTGAAGTGTAGACTGCAATTGTTGGAATCATTCTATCCTGTATCGTTAGCTTTCTAGTAATGTTGCACTTGTCCTGTAAAGTCGAAAAAAATGCTTCTATCATTTAACAATGTAATTTTTTGTTTACTTATCACAAATATCATTCTTATTCCACTTAATGAAATTTTCTTGGATGTGCTACATTGCACCACACAATGCAGCTGTTGTCAGTGGCAGAGCCAGAAATTTTAATAAGGGGGTTCAAAATCTGAGAAGTAAACACACGAACTAGTGGAAGGGGGTTTGACATCTATTATACATACCTAAAAAATAATTTGAACCATGTATAAATAGTAATATTTTTCGCCGAGGGGGTTCGGATCATTATATGCTGCCTCCGCCCCTGGCTGTTGCATGCAGGTGCTTAATAACTCTCTTCAGTAGAATTCTAAAAGATTAAAGCTATTGTTTAAGCAAATATTAGCGAACGAGATATTAGTCAGGACTAGAAGTCTTCTATTCAAAAATATGATCAAGAAGAGTTTTTCCTTCCTAGGTTCTTATGTTTCTGAACTACACATTGAATTTGTTTTCTCTGAATCCTCTCTCTCTTTTACATGTCATACTATTCTACAAAGTTTGCACTATGATACTACTCATGATCTTTTTAAGCAGAACGTGAGATCAACAAACATGTCCTCTTTGCAAGGTATGGAAATAGAAGCCAAACTCTTCTTAGCTAACATGTCTGGAAATTAAGGTTGGCTCAAGTATGAGACTGGCACCAAGATTTGCTTCTTCTGGATCTCTCCTACATAAACTGCACAGTGACTTTTGGGAACACCTCCAGAAGTTGAAAACCTCCTCAAGACTCTATTATCTTGACTAAATAGTGAGTGAGATACTTTGTAACTTCAAATGATGACAAGACAAAGGATTCTTTTGAGAAATACACAGCAAGTGTAAGTTTGTTTGCACGTCTGTAGACTTGTGTCTTGCTTAAAACGATTTCTACGTATGTGTGTATATATATACAAGTTAGGGAAAAGTTTTTTATCCAAATTTAATGGTGAGAGAAAATGGCACATGAAACTTCATGGTTTTGCTTACTCTGTTATTATCAACAATTTCAAACAACAAATTTGTTGAAGAACAACATTAGGCCCCACTATAAAATAAAATCAACAAGAACTGATGAAGTTGATTACCAAGATGGAAATATAAAGGTCACCTATCTACATGACAAAGAAAAGAGTGGAACATGGCTTTGCTTCTTACCAGCAATTGTTCATTTAATGGATTCAAACTATTGGCATTGAGAGAAGAAAGCAAGAAACTTATCATCTTATATTGAGAGAAGAAAGCAAGAAACTTACCAACTTGGCCAACAGACATCGGCACATGGCTTTGCCTTTTTAGGGACAAAAAATTCAGCTTCAACCCAAGGCCTATCTATAGTATTTTGTATATAAATAATCCCCCATTCATGACCCTTTTTCATCAGCAAGCACAAGCATTATCAATTTAGCCATCAAAGGTCTCTAGATTTCTTATTTAATTTCTTTTTTCCAGTCTTCCAAGAAAAATGGCAATTCTCAGCGCTAAGAAACTCATCAAGTTAGTCAGGAGATGGCAGAAGTTTGCCGCTATGCAGAGGAAGAGGATTTCATTTCCAAGAAATGATAGTGATGCAGACAGTTGCAGTACATCTTCATCCTCTATAGTTGAGAAAGGCCATTTTGTAGTTTATACAGCTGATCAAGCCCGCTTTGTCATTCCATTGGCTTACCTCGAAAATGAAGTCATTAGGCAGCTTTTAAACATGTCTGAAGAAGAGTTTGGGTTGCCAAGTGGTGGCCCTATTACATTACCCTGTGATTCAGCCTTCATGAGTTACATCATTTCACTAATCAAGAGAGGTGTAACTGCTGGAGATCTTCACCAAGCACTACTCCTCTCAATTCCTTCAGGCTATTGTTCAACTTCTTCTTTGCACCAAGAAAGTGGAAGCCGGCTGATTCTTGTTTGTTGAGTCAAGGCCAACATTCTTTTTGTAAATGTTAGATCAGAAATAGTTTTTAGAGAGGCGTACATTGAAGAGTACACAATTGTAAAGCACATCATAAAAATTTAATACTACTTTATTTGAAAATTCACCATATTCATGGCTTTCATTTTTCAAATTGGTTATGATCCTAACAATCTAATGTTGGATTCTTTTACCTCCTTGATTGAAGAAGTGCTAGACGGTATGAAAGTTTGAAACAAAGGAGATCATTCAATCAACATTCAACTGTGTCTTAAACACAAACTGTTTAGTCTCAATTATATGAATCAACTTTATGCATTATGTTCTTATCCTAATATAAGCTAATTTTGTGGCTTGCTTATTCCTTTAATCTATTTTGGAAGAAACAAATGAACATATGGCTAATCGCTTATTATAGCATCTTATCCCATTTATTTTGAACTTGTTGTGAGAGGTTGGACAATGAAGTTGGTGCATATAGTGCAAATACAGAGGATAAAATGAGAGAAGGTCGTCTGAATCTAATCAAGCCATATCCTAGTGTACCTTTAGGAGCACGGATCCGTAGGTATAATTATATGATGTTGGAAGATGATAAGAGGGAATGAGTTAAACCAATAACATATACATAGAGTGCTAATATTACAACCTCTTGGAGCCAATGCGGACTTAACTGAGAACATAAACCAATGGATGCTTAAGCATAACATCCGGCGTTGGTGAACTGTCTTTTGACTTAAAAGATGAACTTTTCATAACTGGAATGAATGAACCTGATTAGAGCATAATGCATAAAGGTGATTCATATAATTGAGACTAAACTATTTGGGTTTGAGACAACTGAATTATTGTTAATTGATTGATTTACTCGGTGTCAAATTTTCATATCATCTAGTCCTTCTTCTATCAAGGAGGTGCTGAAATCCAAAATTATATGTTTAGGACTTCTCATAACCAAATTGAAAAGTGAAAACCATAACTCATGAATATGGTAAATTTTCAAATAAAGTAGTATCAAAATTTTGTATGATGTGCTTTACAATTGTGTACTCATCAATGTCCGCCTCTCTAAAAACTATTTTGAGCTAGATTTACAAAAAGAATGTTGGCCTTGACTCAACAAACAAGAAGATGTTGTTTTCCACTTTCTTGGTGTAAAGAAGAAGTTGAACAGCGGCATGAAGGAATCGAGAGGAGCACAGCTCTGTGAAGATCTCCAGCAGCTACACCTTTCTTGATTAGTGAAATGATGTAGCTCATGAAGGCTGAATCACAGGGTAATGTAATAGGGCCACCTCTTGGCAACCCAAACTCTTCTTCGGACATGCTTAAAAGTTGCCTAATGACCTCATTTTCAAGGTAAGCCAATGGAACGACAAAGTGGGTTTGATCAGCTGTATAGACTACAAAATGGCCTTTTTGAACTATAGAGGATGAAGATGCATTGCAACTGTCTACATAACTAGCATTTCTTGGAAATGAAATCCTCTTCCTCTGCATAGCCGCAAACTTCTGCCATTTCCTGGCCATCTTGAGTTTCTTAGCGCTGAGCATTGCCATTTGTTTTTTTGGAAGATTGAAAATAAGAAAGTAGCAAGAAATTTAGAGAGCTTTGATGGTTGAACTGATAATGCTTGTCCTTGATGATGAAAAGGCTCATGAAAGAGGGATTATTTATACAAAATGGAGCTGAAGTTTTTGTCACTAACCACCGAAGGCAAAACCATGTGCTGATGTTTGTTGGCCAAGTTGGCATGGGGACTAAAATTTGTGGATGAAGCTAGGTATATTAGCTATAATATCATCTCATAAATGGTACTTCTCACCAATGCAAATAATTAGAAACCATTAAATGAACAATTGCTGGTGAGAAGCAAAACGATGTTCTTCTCCCTTCATTTTCATGTAGATAGGGGACACTTGACCATCAGTTTGGCTAGTTGTGCTTGAAAAATCACTTCATTAAACTCACATGTGGCTATCTGTTTTGGTCTTTGTTGGTCTAGGCAAAGTCATCAAATATTGTTCTTCAACATATTTATGTTTGAATACTTTAGAGAGTACGCAAAACTATTGTCTCTAAACATTGAAACTTTATCTGCCATTGTTTCTCACCAGTAGTCACCTATTTCTCTTGACCACCACTAGATATTTCAACATGAAACTTGTATATATACACACAGATACTGTATGTTTTGTGGTGCCAATATCAAACTTGAGCCAACCTCTCTTTCAAGACTTGTTAGCTAATGCTGAAGAAAAGTTTGACTTTGATCTTCCAATGCGTGGTCTCATTTCAATTCCAACACCCCTCTTCAAGTTGGAGGGGAGTGAAGCAAGACCCAACTTGCCGAGAATTGAATGATGAGATGGTCCCGATAATGGTTTAGTGAACAAGTCTGCAAGTTGAGAGGAAGAGGGAACGAATTGAAGAGAAATCAAACCAGAAAGGAATTGTTGCCGAACAAAATGGCAATCAATTTCTACATGTTTGGTTCGTTCATTAAAAACAGGATTGCGAGCAATATGGATTGCGGCTAGGTTATCAGAATGAAGTGGAATCGGAACTGAAGGAGTAGCTCCAAGATCCGTGAGTAATCGAGTGAGCCAAGTGATCTCTGAAACAACTCTTCTCATAGATCTATATTCTGCCTCAACAGAGGATAAAGAAACAGATGCTTGCTTCTTTTATTTCCATGAGATTGGGGATCCTTCCAAGCTGATAAAGAACCCACTGATTGATCTATGAGTGTTGGGGCAAGAACCCCAATCTGCATCGCAAAAAGCAAGTAATTTGAATGAAGGATCAGCAGATAGGAAAAGTCCTTGGCTTGGATTTGACTTGAGATATCGGAGTACTCTTAATGCAGCTGTAAAATGAGGTCCTCTTGGTTGTTGCATGTACTGACTTAGATGATGAACTGCGAAAGAGAGATCTGGCCTAGTGTGAGTGAGATAATTCAATTTTCCAAGGAGTCTCCGATAGGAAGTTGGATCAGTCTGTAAATCTCACACCTAGATACGACTAGAAAGAGTTTAAAATCTGAAAATAATGATTTTGGAAAGAATAAGGAAATCTGGAAAATTGTCTAAGTTAAGAAAGTGAGTTTTGGCTATTTTCAAACGGCCATAACTCCTTCTCAGGATGAGTTAGGAGCATTTGTTGATTAGTTGGAAAGCCCTTGGAGAGATCTTTCCAACGCCGCCGAGTTTGCGCGATTTCGACATCGTATGAGTGAGATATGCCTTTCGGAAGTTGGACTGTTGGATTGAGGAAAGTCCCAATCCGGATTTAGGGAAGGGCAAAATAGTCTTTTCTCTAATTTATTTCCTAAGTTTTTAGGGATTTATTGAGGGTAAAAACAGAACCTAATTCAGTTTTGAAAAATTAGAATACGCTTAAGGCTTGGAGAAGAGAGAAAGAAAGAAAGAACGGGAGAAGAAGGGAAGAATTCACCTAGATCATCCAAGCTGGCGAGTGGAATTCGTCGGGGGTGATCCCTATTAAGGTATGTGAGATCCTTTCATGATGGGTTAGTTCACCCACACTCCCAACTTATTTCTATTCAGAGAATGGTTGTTTATTGAATGAAAAGTTAGTGAGTTCTTGAAGAAATTTTTTGAAATTCGTTAAGTTCTTGTTGGTTGAGTTGTTGATGCTTGGTGGTAGAGTTGATTCATGTTTCCGGGCCATTTTTTTTTAGTTAGATTAGTTGTGTATTGAGGATACAATTGATCCTAAGTGTTTGGGGAAAGAACTAGGAAGATTTGAGGTTTAGAGATGAAAATGGAGAAGAAAAATCGAGAAAACCTGGGCAACGGGGCTGGGGCGCCGCGCCAGCCAGTGCGCCCCACAGACTTCTCTGAAGTTTGGGGCCTGGCTCCCCACGCCTCTCAGAGCGCCAGGGACGCCAGTTCTCCCCATTCGTCCCCCACCTTTTAGTACTTGTTCCTTAGCAATGTACCTATGTTTCTAAGTTGATTCCAACACTCTAAGGTACATATAAACATCATGAAATCATCCATAAACATGAGATCATGAGCCTTGAATCCATAATCCAATTCAAGGAAAGTTAAGATCAAAGTAAAAAAAAGTTAAGAGTCAAGTCTAGAAGTTAAGCAACAAGTCAAAACAAAGTTTCTTAAAGTTTTCAAGAGTCTTTATTAAACGTTTTAACTTCGTTTTAAGTTTCAAGTAAAGCAAAGAGTAAAAGTTGAGTTCATTTCTCAAAAGTTATTAGGCAACTATGTATTCCCAAAGAAGTTTATAAATGTTTTCACATTTGAGCAAAGAAAAAGGAACATCGATTCCAAAAGAGCCTTTAGGCTAAGCTGTGAGCAATTATCTCAAACTAAAGAAAGAGGTGTTTAAAACACATATGAGCTAAAGTATAGTTTGGGAGTAGTATTGAGCACCGAATTGGGGATGCGAGTTCATATTAACTCAAATCTTCATAAGAACCATATGGCCAACATGGGATTTAACGGGTCATACTTTTTAGATGATCATGTAAGTTAAGCTAGTGGATCCACTAAGTTAAGTAAGGTCCTATATCAAGGCAAGGTATAGGATGGTCCTTGGGCAACGTGTGGTAAAACGTTGTATCATCACTAGGGCTCATAGTGGTGGTTGTCGGTTAAAGAATCTCCCACTAAAGTTATATTACTTTTATATATAAGTAAAGTTGAGTTTGTTATTGCTTATCTTTAACGAACTAAGTTGTTTACACTGTTTTACAAGCTTTATATATATATTGCGTGTGTCTTATTACTTTATATTGAGTTCAGTTATTCATGAGTTAAACAGAGCCAAAGTAAGTGTTCCTTTATCCTCCTTTCAAGCTTAAGCTGTGATTTAACATTCCAATTCGCATACTCGTACATTCAATGTATTGATGCCAGTTGGCCTGCATCTTATTATGATGCAGACGCAGGTAACCAGGATCAGCATCCAACGCGCCATTGATCCCGTTGAGCACTCCAGAGTCAGTGGTGAGCCTCCTTGCATTCCGAAAGACTCTTTTTATTTCGCTTTCTTAGTTTTCTTTATTAGGATGTTGTGGGGTCTGTCCCAACATCCATCTCAGTATTATAGAGGCTTCATGGACAGTCAAACAGTTAGTTTTGAGTCTCGCATCTATGTATTTGCAGATACTTTGTTTTGAGACATAAGTTGCCATTTTGGCTAAGATGTTATCATTTAAACTATTACTTGAGTTTATGTTGTTGAGTTAAGTCTTCCGCTGAGTTAAGTAAGCTAGGCCAAGGGTTCGCTTGGGGCCAACAATGGTCTTCGAGTGTCGGCCACGTCTAGGGTGTAGGCTCGGGGCGTGACATAGTCAACAAATCAATAGTGAAAAAATCCAACTTCGAAGATGGATTGAGTGGAGAAGAGACTAGGGGTAAATGATCACAATTGAACTCATTTAAAGCTCCAGAGTAAACTTTCTTTGACTTACTATTATTCCTGTTGGCTCCCGGAGGATTTCAAGTCCCTGAAAATAATGTAAATCTCCCAAATCTTTGAGCTTAAATTCTGAATGCAAGAACTCTTTTAGCTGCACTAGTTCTGCTTCATTGTTTCCTGTTAGAATAATATCATCTGCATAGACAGCTAGAATGGAGATATTAGTTCCTGATATCTTGAAGAAAAATGAGTAGTCATTGAGTGATGAGCAAAAACCTTTGGAATTTAAAGCTTCTGCCAATTTTGAGTACCATTGCCTTGATGCTTGTCTAAGTCCATATAAAGACTTCTTGAGTTTGCAAACATGTTGGGAACTAGGTGATTGCATTCCTATTGGAAACTTCATGAAAACTTCCTCATCAATTTCTCCATGTAAAAATGCATTATTGACATCTAGTTGTGAAATATTCCATCCTTGCTTCACTGCTATAGTCAATAAGCACCTAATAGTTGTCATTTTGACAACCGGTGAATAAGTCTCACTAAAATCAATACCTTCCTTCTGAATAGCTCCTCTAATCACCAATCTTGCTTTCAGCCTCTCTATACTTCCATCAGAATTATGCTTGATTTTGTAAACCTATTTACATGGTAATGCTTTCCTTCCTTTTGGTAATTCCACGACTTCCCAAGTTTGATTCTCAAGGAGTGCTCTAATTTCATCTTCCATAGCCAAGTTCCATCCCGGATGTAACGCTGCCTGGGCATAAGAAGTTGGTTCTGTGATGTTTGAAATAGAGTTCAAGACTTGTTGATTTGTTGTGGATAGGCTAGCAAAAGAATAGCTTTTAGGGATAATAGGCCGACTGAAACAAGTATTGGTTAGATCTGTCAAAAGAACTGCATTGCAGACATACTCTTCTAAGTAGGCTGGTTTCTTGTGTATTCTTTCTGACTTTCTTTGCGTGACTGTGGAAGGTGAAATATCTTGCGTCTCATGCAAGGTCACAGAGTCAAGTCCTTCTGAGTTCCTTGTATCAACATGATGTGATTTAATTTCTGTTTCCAAATGTGATGTATGAGGCACCTCATTCATACTTTCAGGTTCATGTTTTGAGGTAAAAAAGGATCTGGTTCAATGTTTGGCAGAAAGTCAGTTTGTGAGATAGAATGATCAGTGGTAAATATATGAGTCGGGAATGAGGTTTGTGAACTTGAGATGGTGGAAAAAGGGTAAATATTTTCATGAAACTTGACATTCCTGGAAACTATTATCTTTCTAGTATCCAAAACAAGCAATCTATATCCCTTTTTTCCATGAGGATAGCCTATGAAGACACATGGAATGACTCTAGGCTCAAACTGTCCCCTATTGTGCGCCACAATACTAGCATAGCATAGACAACCAAAGCTCCTAAGATAGGAGTAATTAGGAGGACTTCCTAATAGAACCTCATAGGGAGTTCTGTTTTTAAGGACTTTAGAGGGATATCGATTTATAAGGTATGTAGCCATTAGGACACACTCTCTCCAATATGAAATAGGCAATTTAGATTGATGAAGTAGTGCCCTCGATACCTCGAGAAGATGCTTGTGTTTTCTCTCCACAACACCATTTTGTTGTGGAGTATGAACATAAGTGGTTTGATGAACAATACCTTGTGAAGCAAAAAATTCAGCTGACAGGTTGCTTCCACCCAATTCCAATGCATTGTTGGACCTGATTATCTTAACTTTGACGTTGAATTGTCTTTCAACCATCACTAGAAAATACTTTAAGACAGTGAAAGCATTACTTTTTGTTTTTAGAAGATGAGTCCAAGTTGCTCTACTATAGTCATCCACTATAGTTAAAAAATATTTGTATCCATCATGAGAAAGAGTTTTGTATGGCCCCCAAGTGTAAATATGGATTAATTCAAAGATCTTCTTAGAACTGATATTACTAGATTGAAAAGGTAACTTGGATTGTCTAGCTAAGGGACATATATTGCAATTAGCATTAAAATGAAAAGGAGAAACAAGAACTGAACAAATATTCTTCATTGATTGAAATGGCATATGCCCCAATCTAAGGTGCCACTGCCTTACATCAAAAGCATTCTTTATAGGAATTGAAAAAGTGCTTGAAACAGAAAGACATCTAGATTTTTCTTGATTGCACAAATTAACTGATGTGCTGACGAAACTCTTAAGGTACTAGAAACTTGACTTTAGGAGATATAGCCCTGCTCTTGCTTTACCAAATGCTAGAGGCCTCTTCATTGAAGGGCCCTGCAGAAAACAACCAAAAGAGGAAAAAATGAGTAAGCAACTTAACTATTTACACAACTTGTAGACTGAAATGAGGTTATATTTGAAACATGGAACAAATAAGACATCTTTCAAAATGAGTTTAGTATGTAAAGGGACACTTCCAACTTGAGTAACCTTGACCCTATGAGAATTAGGATGATCAACAAATACAAGAGTCTTAAGAGTATTGAGTTCTAAGAAGATCTTTGAATCAAAACACATATGTTGAGTAGCACCTGAATCCAATATTCAGGTTCTTTGATTGAAATCAATAACTTTATGAGGTGTTTTATTGAAAACCTTACCAGCACAAGTCACTGCATTGGCTGAGCATCACCACTTGAACCTTCTGATTGATTCATCCTCACATTTTGAAGCATATGAATCAGTTGTGAATATTGATCCTGGGTGAAATGTTGTCCCTGTCCTTCTCCATTAAAATGTGCTCCACTTTGTCCTTGTGTTCCTTCTATGTAAGCAACATTGCTTTTCACATTTCCCTGGAACCTCTTCGTCTTGGTAAACTTGAAATCACTTGGAAAACCTATTATCTTATAGCATTTATCCACAAAATGCCTAGGTTTCTTAGAGTGAGAACAAATAATAGTGGTTTTGTTTCCCTTAGACTCATAATATCCAGATCTTTGACCAAGAGTGTTCTGATTTGTGGCCTAGAAAGAAGCAGAGTTTCCTGGATAATGTGTGCTCATATACACCTCCCTTTGCTTTTAATCTTGCATTATGAGTGAGTAAGCATGATTCACAGAGGGTAAAGATGAGAGCATCAACATGCTACTCTTTCCAGCAACATAGACATCATTCAACCCCATAAGAAATTGGATCAATCTCTCATCTTGAATAGACTTAGCCATTTTTCCTTTCCCACCACATTGGCAGTCACATAAGCAATTGACAGAACTGTTCAAAGCATCAAGCTCGTCCCAGAGACTTTTGATCTTTGTGAAATAGCCAGCAATGTCATTTGAACCTGCACCAAGTCACTCAACTCCTTTTGCAGGTGATAGAGTTGTGCTCCATTGGACTGGCCAAATCTATCCTCAAGTTCTTTCCATAGATCCTTGGCTGTCTTGGAGTAGATAACACTGTCAGCTATCTCTTTTGAAAGAGAGTTGAGCAGCCATGACAGAACCATATCATTGCATCTGTTCCATAGCTTGAAATCTGGTGATATCGAAGTTGGTTCTTTGTGAGTACCATCAATGAACCCAACCTTATTCTTAGCTGAAAAAGCTATTAAGATTGATCTCCTCCATCCACCATAACCTTTCCCATTAAAGGGTGAGTTAACAAGATTCATTCCTGGAGAATCTGAAGCATGAAGATAGAAAAGATGATTGTGATCAGTTCCAGAGTTGGTGGTACTTCCAGTGCCTGTAGAGCTACCAGAAGTGGGATCTGTTGTTGTCACCATTGTTGAACTGAGAAATGGAGAGTAGGGATGAAGAAAAGGGAAGAAAAGGCAATAAAGAGATCAGATTCTCAAGGTTGCTCTGATACCATGTAGAAAATCAGAGACTAAGAATGGGAAAATTTTTCTTGCTTTCTATTCATTCAACTGTGATGTATATATATAGAATACCTAAAGAGAAGAAAACAAAAGTATTCCTATACATGTATGGAATTTGATTGACTATCACTACAATCCAATTTTGGACAGCTATGTATGTACTATTTTGTACAGAATTTGAATAAATCTGTCAAGGGAATTTGGATTATTTGTTGCCTCATTTCTGCTTCCACTTGGCCCTTTCCTGTTTGTCCAAATTAGCCTCCAAATCAGCTCTTCTAAATGAGCTTGGATGGTCAGGATTAAAACTTATATTGCTTGATCCAAAGGTTGTGAAACTTCCATCTCTTGGGCCACTTGAAGTGTAGACTATCTGAGAATCGAACAATTGATTGTGTTTATCTCTGATTTTCATTTGATTGTGAAGCTTCATTGCAGCAAGAGCTTGATTAGTTATCTCTTCTTCCATGGTTGTTTGTTGATCTGTATCAACTTTGCCATTTTCAATTCCAACAGAAAAGGGTGCCAACTGTAACTGGATCGAAAAGAGAGTGGACTGAGCATCTTTCCAATTTCAAAGATCTATCAGAGCCCATTTGAAATGAAGACCCCTGCTCTGACCCCAACTTATTTGGGACTTAGGAGTAGTTGTAGTATTATTGGAGGTCGTTGATCCCTAATGTGGGTGCAACAATACATTATTATATGAGGAAGGTCATCTAATATGATCCACCATATAATAATAAGTGGACATTCAGATGCACAAATCCATAGATTCAATAGAATGATGTTGTTGATTAGAAGGAACAAGTTAGACCATATATCACACAAAATGCTGGAAATATAAAAAAAATCTCCTGTAGCCAATGCGGACTTTACTGGGAATATACAACAATGGATGCAAAAGAATTCATACACGTAATACTGACTAGTTCGGACTAAAATTTAGTTTTGGTTTTTACACTTACCATTACTTCTGTTTTTTAGTCAATTTTCCTTGTATTAGTTAAAGATTTGTATGTCTGTGTTCCAAAATTGGAATAAAAGTTAGATTTAGAAAATGAACTAGGTTTAGACAACTCCAAGATTGGATTGTTAGGACTTCTCATAACCAAATTGAAAAGTAAAAGCCATGAATATGGTAAATTTTCAAATAAAGTAGTATTAAAATTTTGTATGATATGCTTTACAATTGTGTACTCGTCAATGTCCGCTTCTCTAAAAACTATTTTGAGCTAGCATTTACAAAAATAATGTTGGCCTTGACTCAACAAACAAGAAGCTGTCGTTTTCCACTTTCTTGGTGCAAAGAAGAAGTTGAACAGCAGCATGAAGGAATCGAGAGGAGCACTGCTCTGAAGATCTCCAGCAGCTACACCTTTCTTGATTAGTGAAATGATGTAGCTCATGAAGACTGAATCACAGGGTAATGTAATAGGGCCACCTCTTGGCAACCCAAACTCTTCTTCGGACATGCTTAAAAGTTGCCTAGTGACCTCATTTTCAAGGTAAGACAATGGAACGACAAAGCGAACTTGATCAGCTGTATAGACTACAAAATGGCCTTTCTCAATTATAGAGGATGAAGATGTACTGCAACTGTCTGCATCACTTGCATTTCTTGGAAATGAAATCCTCTTCCTCTGCATAGCGGCAAACTTCTGCCATTTCCTGGCCATCTTGATGAGTTTTTTAGCGCTGAGCATTGCCATTTTTTTTTTGTTGGAAGATTGAAAATAAAAAAGTAGAGAAGAAATTTAGAGAGCTTTGATGGTTGAACTGATAATGCTTGTCCTTGATGATGAAAAGGCTCATGAAAGAGAGATTATTTATACAAAATGGAGCTGAAGTTCTTGTCACTAACCACCGAAGGCAAAACCATGTGCCTATGTTTGTTGTCCAAGTTAGTATGGGACCAAAAATTTGTGGATTGAAGCTAGTTTGAAAATATAAGATGATAAGTTTCTTCCTTTCTTCACTTTGATCAACAACCAACTAGGCCTATAAGCTATAATATCAGCTCATAAGTCATAGTTGGCACTTCTGACTATGCTGCCAATAATTTGAAAGCATTAAATGAACAATTGCTGGTGAGAAACAAAACCATGTTCTTCTTCCTTCATTTTCATAGAGATAGGGGACACTTGACTATCAAGTTGGCTAGTTGTGCTTAGAAAAACCATTTCATGTTGTTATTCTGTTTTGGCCTCTTTCATCCTATCTTTAAACCAGGTGGTCCAGGAAAAGTCATTTTCTTTATCTATTCTTGTGCATTTTTTCTAACAGTGTCCTTTATATACACACACACACATACTAGTCTCTAGACTTGCAACAAACTTTAACTTGGTTATTTCTATAATCCTTCATTCTTTCTTCAGGTCTTCAAATGTCGTTGTCTTTCGCCTTTGCAGCCTTAATGCGGATACTTCAGCAAAGTCTGATGCCTGCTGGATATGTTGATATGGGGCCTTATATGTGTGGATGAATCTTGTTCAAAAGGATGTAACATGATGACTGTCATTCTTTCTTCATTTGGTAGACGACTGAATAGACCTATTTATTATGTCACCAAATAACATTGAGGACAACTTCTCACATATAATAATAGTCTGAGACCTTTGAATGAAGAATTGATATCTTAGTGGTGGATTAATTTTATCGAACCATATGGTGCTGTAGGCTATTTCATGTAAGTAATGGATCCCTACACAGTTGTGGAGCATGGATTTTCAATAAAAAGGGTAAAAATATAAAGAAGACAAATTGGGAGACTAGGCATGTAGTTTTGATGATTGACAAAAGTGAACTCGTTGTTACTTGTGTTGCATGTTGTGAAATCAGGTACCCTGAGACAGGAATGCAAATGTACAAATTCGGAAGATTGACAAATAAGGAAAGCAAATAAAGAGAAGATATTGAGTAACAAGAAATTACAAAATTCAATGATTTCATGGGACTGGTGTTGTTTACTGGATGACAATTACAGGTACTCCTAGTATTCTTGCCTTTGATCTAACAAAGGAGAGGTCACAGCTCCTTCAAAACTATGATACTCATGGGATTTTGGGTGAGTTTAGTGGAAAGATCTGTAAGACGAATGTCTATGGTAATACAATCAGCTTAAACATTTTGGATAATTAATGTCCACTCAAATACAATCCAAATGCGAAGCCAAACCAAAATGTGGGCAGTATAACAGCAGGTTGCTCTTGATAGTAAAATTGTTGGGAAAGTAGCAGGGGACTGCTCAGTTTTACATGTTGACAGTAATATGTTGGTGGTCCGGAGCTGGGGAAAAGCCTTTTGGTATGATTTCAAGTCTCATGCAACAAAATGCATTACGGGTTAATTTCATAATTCGAGATGCTTGCCCTACGTCAACAGCTTAGTCTCCCTCTAGTCTGCCTTGGCTGCAGTTGAAACATCTTTGTTTCGAGCTGCAACATCCTTGCTCGGAATTTCTTTCAAAAATGGTCATCTAACTTTGTACTTTAGAGCTTCCGACTTTTAATAATATAGGATGATATGTTGATAAAAGCTACTTTTGTGACTTACTATTTCTTCGAATCTATTTTGGGAAAATTGTAAACATGGCTAATTGCATACTGTAGCATCTTATCCCATTTATTTTGAAGTTATTGTTAGAGGTTGTACCCTGAGTGGGTGCATATAGTGCAAATATAGAGGATAAAATGAGAGAAGGCCATCTGAATCTATCAAGCCATATCCTAGTGGACCTTCAAGAGCACGGAGATCCATAGGTGCAATTATATGATGCCGGAAGATGGTAAGAAGGAACGAATTAAACCAAATATGTATAACATAGGGAGCTCAAAATATTGCAGTCTCTTGGAGCCAATGCATACTTAACTCAGAACATAAAGCATGGATGCAAAAGAATCTGTAAATGTAATACTAATTACTAGTTAGGATTAAAATATGGTAAGCATTACATCCGGCGTTGATGAGCTGTCTTTTGACTTACATTCTCATAATTGGAATGCATGGACCTGATTAGAACATAACACATAAAGTTGATTCATATAATTGAGACTAAACAGTTTGGGTTTGAGCCAGTTGAATGTTAATTGATTGTTAGGACTTCTCAGAACAAAATTGAATAGTGAAAGCCATGAATATGGTAAATTTTCAAATAAACTAGTATTCAATTTGTATGATGTTCATTACAATTGTGTACTATTCAATGTCCGTCTCACTAAAGACTATTTTTGAGCTAGCATTTACAAAACGAATGTTGGCCTTGACTTAATAAACAAGAGGCTGTTGGCTTCCATTTTCTTGGTGCATAGAAGAAATTGAACAGCAGCATGATGGAATCGAGAGGAGCAGTGCTTTGTGAAGATCTCCAGAAGTTACACCTTTCTTGATTAGTGAAATGATGTAGCTCATGAAAGCTGAATCACAGGGAAATGTTATAGGTCCACCTCTTGGCAACCCAAACTCTTCTTCAGACATGCTTAAAAGTTGCCTAACGACCTCATTATCGAGGTAACCCAATGGAACGACAAAGCGGGATTGATCAGCTGTATAAACTACAAAATGGCCTTTATCGACTATAGAGGATGATGACGTACTGCAACGGTCTGCATCAGTATCATTTCTTGGAAATGAAATTCTCTTCCTCTGCATAGCGGCAAATTTCTGCCATTTCCTGGCCATCTTGATGAGTTTCTTAGCGCTGAGCATTGCCATTTGTTTTTTTGGAAGATTGAAAATAAGAAAGTAGAATAGAAATTTAGAGAGCTTTGATGGTTGAACTGATAATGCTTGCCCTTGGGGATGAAAAGTCTCATGAAAGAGGGATTATTTATACAAAATGGAGCTAAAGTTTTTTGTCACTAACCACCGAAGACAAAACCATGTGCCGATGTTTGTTGGCCAAG